GGTGAGATAGAAAAATATTTCTTCTTGTAAATTCAGTGAACTGACCCTTTAAATGTATTTCATTATTTACAGACTAGCCACAAAACGTGCACATATTTGCAGTAGGTCACTGCAGTTCAAGATACACAAGGTTTCATCCTGTTTCACACAGACAGAGCCCCCTAGAGTCCACTGCTGATGACTTTGTAGTTCTATGATAATTCTGTGCCCTGCAGTATTCACATGCATGTTCAGTGGTCTGATTGCTCTATTGTTGGTTTTCAGTGTCAGACAGGAGGCAGAATCGCTGGATCGGACCTACACAGAGTCACAGTGGTGAGTCTCACACACATATATATAATAAGAATAAGCAGCAGGGAGATTATGTGCTCTGATCGCAGGGATGATGGTATGTGTTTATATTATGTTAAAAAAAAAGCTGACACTTTATATATATATTGTTTACTGGCCTATTTGAGAAATATATTTGTTTAAATTCTATTAAAATGGGTCGAAACTTAATGACCACACGAAAACGTGGGACCAGGTGAGAACCACTGCACTACAGCACAAAATGTGAATTCATTAAAAAATAATCCTCAACAAATGCACTATTTCCTACTGTTTGACTGGTGTTTGATGAAAACTACAGTAACAATAAGAATAATATACACTGTAAATATTAGTAAGTATTTATTTCATGCTTAAATTGTTGGAGGTAATAAATAATTTAAACGGTTCGAAGCAATCAGCTTTACAGTGCAGAATCACACCAGATTGATCATTTCGATCATTTTCAATGTTTGTCTCAGTGTCCTACCATCGAGGAAAAACTGCAGTTAAAAACAATGATGGGGAGAAGAGGCTGTCCTACCCTGGTAACACTCACACACACATTTACAATGTTAGACCAAGCATACAGTCAGATGGTAGGAGCTCACTGCTCCCCAAGCAGGCACTCTGTTGGTTGAAATCTGGCTGCTCTTCTTGTGTGTCATCAAATCAGCTCTGGAGCGACTGGCGGTCAGTGAAAGCAGGGAGCCTTCATCCAACAGGAACAGTGACTACAACTTCTGACACACCTTGTCATCCTCCATCATCATCATCATCATCATTAACATCGTCATCCTCTATACATGGGCTGAGCATTCTTATGTGATTATTTCTGGATTGTATCTGTTGCACAATAATATCAGTCCTGTTAAGATCATGTAAAAGCGATAATTCATCTCTTTGTGTATCTGCATTTGCTGCATCAGATACTAAACGTTTTGTAATAATAACCAGTAGTTGGTATTTACAGCCATCAATGTATAATATTGTATCTAAACTTAGTTTATCAGCTCCTGTAAAATGAAACCAGAACAAGTTACATAAACCTGACTGAAGTTATGTTGAACGCACAGTTAAACCCCAGTTAAAAAATACATATTTACCCTCTGTAGCAACTGTAATGCTATTCATACATCTAGATTGTTTTGGAGTTTTGGAGATATAAAAAAAATAATTTCAAAAACTTAACAGCAACGTCTCTTTCCAGAAATCATGACCCAGTTACCTCTCTCACAACTAATCCACAGAACTTGGTGTGAGTGGTTTCATGATGGAACTATTTTTTTTTTTCTACCAAACTACACCCACAAATCGTTGCTGAACATTAGCTATTCCAGTGGTGCTTGGTGAGCTAATATTACACCTCAGTGGAGGAGGACACCATTAATGTTTACATTCTGCACAGCCAAAAGCCTCTCGTTCGTGATTGGATGCACGCCAATACGTACAAAAAAATAAACCCCATCTGATTCTATTATATTGGAGAGAAGGCAGACATCTATAGGTAACTCAGCAACTCACACAAAAACTGTGAAAAAAATCTGAATGGATAAATAACACTACAGGTAAAAATCGGTATTTTTTATTTTGGGGGATAACTGTGAGATATTTTAACAATATTCTTACAATATTTTCGTAAACACACTTTTTAGCCATCATTGTATATTGTGCTCGTACATTCTGGTTTTAGCAATCACAAAGCATCTCAAACTATCCTGAATGGTGTTGCCCTGCAGTTTCAAGTTCTGTCCAGGTGACTCATATATTTGCCCGACTAGCTTGGTCACTAGCAAGCTCCAACAACAAGTTGTTAGAAGGTGTATTTTTCACTTTTAGTTGGCTTTTCTTCCAGTCTTTGTGCTTAGCTAAACACATTCAGGACCTCTCTCGGCAAACAGCAATAAAACTGAGAAACTTAACAAGTGGCCGCTAACAGCAAGAGTAGTTTCCAAAATGGCAGAAGGTTCCTTTAATCAGAAAAACATTCATAAAAACCTACTAAGAACATTGATTCAATAACATGTGATTCACTGACACTGTAATAATTAATTGTATTTCTTTTGTTGACAGCTTGTGATTTTTGATTAATATTGTGAACTTTGTATTTTCAGTAAACAGGATCTAAGTTGTCTTTGACCTGATTTGTTGTCTTTGAAGTAGGTGAATGGAAAATGTTGTAGATTTTGGAGAAGACAGAAAGACAGAGAGGAGGAGGAAGAGGAGGAGGAGGAGAGAGTGAGAGACGAAGGTGGTTACTAAGTGCAGAGATGTGGTTTCCTCTGCCGTTGACACCAACTTCCTGTTTGTGTTATTTCTGTCGTAACCTCGATAACTTTGCCCCTCTCCTTCTCTCTTTCTCTTCCTTGTTGTCTTCTCATGTTTCTTCCAGTCCCTCCTCGTTCTTTTCATCCATCTCTTGTCTTTTCTTTTGTCTGCTTCTCTTCTTTTCTTCCTCCCACTTTCTCTTTTCGTCTCATAAGTGTTGAAGTCAGCTTTGAGGTTAATCGTTCATTTATCATCATCGCTGATGGGGTTTGAACAAATCCTTGTGGAAAGCTGCTTCTGAACAGTTCCTGTTACACTGATGGAAAGTTCTTTAAAGGCAGTGCAGTATTTGACGACTTGGGAGTGAGGCCGGGTTATCAATGCTGGTGGTTTAGGGGCAGATTTAGAGACTTACCAGTTGTTGTTTCTTGGAACATTATTAACCTGGTAGAGCTGGCACCCAATGTACCAGTGAGTGCTAGCTGCAGTGGCCATGGGTCCGACTGACTGGGGCAAGAGCCTTTTTGAGGAACTGCTGAACCCGTCCAACACATCCTCAGTGGTGGAGGCAGCGTTTCTTGGAAGAAACCGCACCCATATCCCTGAGATACTAAAGAAGCTAAAGGCTCTAGACATTGAGGGGCTGTCTTGGCTGACATGCTTCCAAAGTTTTCCTAGTGGACACAAGATGTCTTCTCCTTCACTGTAAAGTCCATTCTCAGTGCTTATATGCCCTGCCATTTAAAATCAGATCCGATATGAATGTGAAAACATCCTTCTAGAATCAAACATCATTTAAACATCACACTGTAGGAACAAGAGGAAACACTGATCTATGACTGGGGGGCTTAAATATTTTAGAATTGAGTAAACTACAACACAACATCCTAATTAATTTATATTTTTCATAATTTATCATAGGTGTTTCTGCTGCCCCCAAGTGGACAAAAATATATTATTAATTGTCTCTCTATCTAGTTGACTGCCTAGTCCTTTTATCTCCCCAAAACAGGCCTGTTTCTATTGTAACACACACAGACAGTTGTATCTGTACTTCATCCTGTCCTGTCTGCCCGTGTGTAGCCGACAGCACACATGTCACATTTCGGTTTGTGAGTGCATGTGTCTCGTGTGTGTGTCCATCTGTGTATGAGTGGGTGTATTGTGCCTCGTCCTCCCCTGGTCAGGTCACGGTATGAGATGATAATCTGGGCCCATTGCAAATGTCCCATCCAGAGAAACAATGACAGATGACTGCAGATTACAGCTGCAGATTATCCAGCGGGGGATTGACACAGGGGGGGACAGAAATGGAGGGAGAGGAGGAGAAGAAAGGGAGAAATATGGAAGAGACATATACAGAGATGAAGACATATCGGAAGATGAAGGAAAAACAGGAAGAGTAAGGAGCAGCTTGGGCAGGATAGGTTGTAGATATACTGGAAAGGACATTTTACGTTTTTGCAGTCCCTAAAAACAGCAGGGATTTACTAGTGTTCATAAAGACATACATCCATTTCATATCCTCATATCATGAAAACTGCACTTGTTAAAGTTTGATTGACAGCTGCACAAAAACCCAAAACATCAAAAATTACATTCACAGTAAGAAATGAGCCATCTGGCCCAGCGAAACCAAATTCAAGATCCCCGTACGTACGCACAGCTGACAGGCCAGCACATGACTCACTGCCGTCGCCAAGTGCATTGCGTCAGGTCGGTACTGTTGGCGTCTCGTAAATTATAAAAATTGAGTTCGGTCTAACCTGCCTATTTGAAAAAGTGTCCTGAGATAACTTCTGTTATGAATTGGCGCTATACAAATAAAATTGAAAATTGAATAGTTGCAGATAAAAATAAGGGGTGGTTCTTGGGGATAAGCAGTGTAACAGTCAGTGTTTCATGCAGCAGAAGGTCAGTGAGCAAATGAAACGATAACCTAAATTGGGCCTGCATGAACGTTAAGCCCAGTAAACTCTGTTTTGGGGGAAATGAGCAAGTGAATGTGCATATGTTCTACATGGAGGATGAAGGATAGGTGATCACTTTTAGAGAAACTTGCAAATAATGACGCAGCAAAGTTGGTAGATATAATTAGAAGTAAATAATGCCCCCTGCAGTTGGAGGGCATTATGTTTTGTATTACAGAATGGACTGGAGCATAAGAGAAGACCACTTACACAGCTTCTCAGTTAGTAGTCAAGTAGTCTTGTCCCAGTGTTGGAAATGAAGCAGCTGTTTAGTTTTTCATTGTTTTAAGAAAAATACAAAAATGTTGGTGTTTTAATTTAAGACAAAGTCACTTACATTTTTTTCTGATAATTTTAAAATCTTAGATGAAGATACATATTCTTCTTTTCTCTAGCCACAGCTCTGCAGAAGCATTTTAGAGATCACAGCTTAGACAAACCATGGACACTTATGAAAGATTATATAAATAAAAGACATTTAGTTTAAGATTTTTTTTTATTTAATAATTCACAGTTCAACATAAAAAGTCTGTACAGTGTGTAAGAACAATGTAAGTCTGGTCAAGACTAAATTCTATTTAGAGCTTCAACTAATCAATTTATTGACTGATTATTATTGGATAGTGGTCAATTGGACGCACATTTTTATTTTATTTTGGATAAATTTAATTAACTGATTTTTCTATTAATTTGAGCGTTTGATTGACAGTTTGACCAATGTTGCAAATGATCGTTAAGTTTCAGCTTTAACTTTATTTATATTCTTTTCTGTAACCTCTGGTTTATCTCTTCCCCCCCTTTTAGTTGACAAAAACGTTAATAAAAAGGTATAAATTCTTAAACTCAGCTCAATAAGGTGACCAAAATACTTATTTTAAAAAAGTGTTTAAGGCCCATTGCAATCTTTCAGTGGTTAATTTTAAGAATTCTAGCCAAGCCAAATTTTCTTACCCCTCTGGCAGATTTTTTTGCTTAAAACAAGAACATTTGATTACATTAAATCTAAATATATCATGTTTCTAACAGCCATGGGGACATGATTGTGTTTAAGTTTAAGAGCAAAGTTTGATTGGTGACTGTTGGTTGTTGGCTCTGACAGACTGTTACACAGCGGCCATTTCCCTCTTCAGTGCGCCCTTGTGAGGACATTGGTTTCACACATCTCACACAAGGTCAGCCTCAAATGTTATTTGTTTCTTGTCAAAACGACATTTTCAAATAGCTCATTGTCATGAGTGTTTCCAAAACATCTCTCCACAATCGCCATCTCCGGGCGACTCCAAACAGGTCAGGACTCCCCTGCAGCTCAATAAGTATCAGCAGAGACACTTGATACCTTGATAATGTCTAATCCTAACCTTCCAAACCTTAAGTTTAATTCTTATTTTTCCATAATGTAGTTGCCATGTGCAGATGTTGCAACATTTTCAACTTTCAGCACAAGGCACAGAGCCACTCGACATCGCCACACTTGGCCCAGACAGCCAATAAAAACAAGCAAGAGGCTTTACTACTTCCTCTCTGCTTTGATGCCGTTTACTTCGTCGGTAAATAGGTCAGCTAGCCAGCCAGCTAGTTAGTTAGCGATTTCTAATGTGGCTAATTGACAGTATATCAGTTTGTCTTTAGCATGAACAAAGACGCCCTAAAAAACATGTTCATTGTTGCAGTAACAGTTTCCCAGCTAGAACAAGACTTGATACTATAGCTATTGAAATGTCCAACTTTATTCTACTTTACTCTATCAGAGGATATAGTCTAGATACTGAGCATTTGTACGACTTCTTGTAATAAACTTTTGATGTAAAAATTATTATACCCTTAGTGTAATGGAAATACAGAGCACTGCTGAATGAATGAGGACTGCATTATAAGCATGGTGGCAGTGTGAGTAGGTGGAGATCTGTTTAGTGAAATTTTGATGCTGTTTTTCATTTTTTTCTGTCTCTCCTCTGTTAAGCTCCTCTCTTTGTCAGATCCATTGTCCTCTAAGCCCCTTCTGCTCCTCTATTACCATTCTCACCACACACACACACACACAACCATACACACAGCTGTCACAGCAAGAGGACGGCGAGGAGAGAGAAATATATAGTAATATTTATCTCTTTAATCATAATTCGTTTATAACTTTTTTGGAAGTGAGTATAAAGATGATTAAGCAGTAAAATTCCCAAGGGGTAATAAAGGTTTCATTCATTCATTCATTCATTCGTATATCTGCTGATAGAAGCTGTCCTGTGGGCACGGTTTAGATTGGTCAGAGGGTACTGGTCCCTTTTTCACCAAATAAGTTCAAAATTCTTGGAACCTTAGCCAACCAACCCGCAAATTCCACCAGTTTTCAGTGGAACCATTGTAATTGGATGCATAATCAACAGAGGGTGCTGGACAAAGCACA